GTGCCAGACATGTGAGTAAACACTCCAGATCACCCAGCCCTCAGATGTCAAGTCAACAGCCAGGCTTTGTGTCCTCCCAGCTGAACCAGACATCATGCAGCAGAGACAAGTCATGCCTACTATATGCACTGTCCAAATTCCTGACCCAAAGAATCCGTAAACACAATAATTTTTTCAATCGGTTAGAGCACAGCCTTATAAGCCCAAGGTCACAGGTTCAGATCCCCATTACCTGCCAGCCGCAGAAAATAAAATAAATAGTAATTTTTTAAGCAGCTACGTTTTGGGGTAGTTCTGCAGTAACAGCAATTTGAATAGACACTTGAAAAATCAGTGTATTAGTCCTTTTATATTAGTTCCATCTTCTTATGTGAAAGAATAATTGTGCTATATTTTCATTTTTTTACTCTGATCTATACATATAGTCTATAAAACTTAAGAGTTTTGGATTCAAAATTTGATACCCAAAATAAATTTTTTCATAAATCCTTCTTGAATGGAATGGAAGTACTAATTCCTTCCCTTGAGAGGAGGGGAAAGACAAAGGTATCTAGAATAGCTCACAAATTTCCAACTTTGATGAGAAATTAGAGGTTAATATCACTGTCATACAGGAGAAGCAATTAAGAAAGTGGAAAAAGGAAAGGAAATGATGAAGTCAACTTCACATATATCTGTAAATCACATATCCCTTCAAATACTTCCACTAGGCAACTGGATATGAATATGAAGCTCAAATAAGGTGTCTAAATTAGACAAACAGTTGGAATCATTAACAAATGGGTGGGAAAATAAGAGTTTACATAGAGAAAGAAGAAGACTTAAGGCAGGATATTAGGGAACACCTCTGTTTAAAAGTCATGTGAAGGAAAATGAAACCATTAAGGAGACATTTATCTATCCATTCATCAAATATTTATTAAATGTGTTTGCCATGTCCCAGGCACTGGAGGCACCACCGCCAACAAGATAAAGATGGCTGCATCCTTAAGGAGATTATCACCTATCGTGGAAATATGGATAAGATGAAGTCAATTAAGAGGAAGAACAAAGTGATATAAACATTCCTAACCAGAACCTGAGGTCAGGGGAGACCTCCCAAAAGCTGAGCTGAGCAGAGACCTCTTGTTATGAACAGGAGTAAAGCAGGCAAAACACGGGATGAAGGTGGGAGGAGTGGAGAAAGAAGTATCTCAAAAAGAAAAAGCAACTTGTGCAAAAGTCTCCATGATGAAAGAAGGCCAATGTACCTGAAGCAGAGGGTGTGGGGAAAGAAGAGTTGGTCTTTATCAAAAGAGCTTTTTTTTTTTTTTTAACCCTCAACTCATCTGTCAAAAGAGCTTTGAGAAACCATTCTAAGATTTTAGCTATATCAGGTTTTCATTTCTGAAAGATCACTATTGGCCAGTGTGGAGACTAGACTGGAGAGGCAAAACTAGAAGTATACAAACCAGTTTCGAGTAATCTAGGCAAGAGATGGTGGGGCTTGAACTAGAACTGTGGCAGAGGAGTAGAGAAAAGTGACCAGATTTGACATATTTAGGAAACAGAAACATCAGGGCTTGATGACTGATTAGATAATAGGCACAAAAGAGAGGAGTCAAAAATTATGCCTGGGCTTCTGGCTTCCACAACAAAGGAGAGTGATACCATTCACTGAGAGGGAAAATACAGGAGGCAATGGCTTTGGAAGGGGGATACATTAAAGAAAACAGTGACCAGTTTAAGGGGTCTGGAAGACATCTCAGTTGTCTAGTGTCAATTAGATTTACAGGACATCTAAACAGAAAATACATACTCAGAAATGATCCGCACATAGATGGTAACTACATCATGGGGAATGAATGAGATCACCCAGGGAGAAAGTGAATAGTAGAAGAAAATGAGAGAGAATGTCAGAAAGGTAAGTAGAATCAAGTGAAAGTGATGTGGCAGAAGAGATAGGTGAGTTTCCAGGAGGAAGTCATCAACAATGTTAAATACCACAGGGTTTGGAAAAGCTTTAAAAAAAGTCCATCTGATTTATCAATTGAGAACTCATTGATAATCTTAGTAAGAGTTGTTTTAATGTAGTAGCATGAGCAGAATCACATTGTAATGGGTTGTGGAGGACCTAAAATATGTGAATTGTGAACAAGCACAACCTATTCTTTTTAGAAGTTTGTGAATGTTAGGAGAAAGGTAAAATATTGGGGGAAAAAAGGGAAACAATGAAAAGGCGGCTGTCCAGTTAGCTCAGTTGTTTACAGCAGAGTTATAACACCAAGGTCAAGGGTTCAGATCCCCACACTGGCCAGCCACCAAGAAAAAAAAATAAACTAATTAAAAAAAAACTTTTCTGGGGAGCCGGCCCGTGGCTCACTTCGGAGAGTATGGTGCTAGTAACATCAAGGCCACGGGTTCGGATCCTTATATAGGGATGGCCGGTTAGCTCACTTGGGTGAGCGTGGTGCTGACAACACCAAGTCAAGGGTTAAGACCCCTTACCGGTCTTAAAAAAAAAAAAAATTTTAAAAGAGCATTTAACTTGTTTTCTTGCAAACAAGAGAGATCTGACATTTTCACATAGAAAGAAACTAGCTGAAAAGGAGTGGCTGAAAACTAATAGAGATTTCAGAGGACACAGGCAGAAATGGAATGTACTCAATCATTGCTGGAGCAGCTTTGATAAACTAACTCATTTTTCCATGGGATTATTACATATTGCTAATGATAATGTAAATTAGTACAATCACTACTATGGTGGTCACTTGACACCACCTAGCAAAATGTTAAACATGTATACCATTTGACCTGACAACGCTCTATCTAGGAATGTATCCTACAGACATACTTGGGGAAAATGACACATACAAGATTATTCATCGCAGCACTGTTTGAACCAGAAAAAGACTGGAAATAACTCAAATATCCATCAATAAGAGACTACTAAAGTTACGATACATCCATACAAACTAAGATGGTGTGGGGAAAAAAAATGAGATCGCTCTCTATATTCTGATATGAAAATCTCAGACAGGCTAAGGAAAAACTGAAGGTGCAGAAAAGTGCGAATGTTACTTTTCATCTGTAAAAGGCGGAAAAAACAGAATCCCATATACATTTGCTTAAATATGCATAAAGAAACCCTGGAGTGATAATCTAAGAACAATAAGTTACCTACTGTGGAGGGGACTCAAATTGGACAGATGGTGGACTCTAACATTCTTATATTTTCTAGCTTGTGAGCTATGAGAAAATATGACCTACTCAAAAAATTAAGCTAAAAAAACCTTTTTTTTTTTCTTCCAATGAGATAGGGGTTAGAAAGAAAAATATATAATTAATAACGCTACTAAATTTCTAGAAATAAGGCTGGTCAGTTAGCTCACTTGGTGTAACAAGCCTGCACTCTAACGAAGATCAAGAGTTCAGTTCCCCTTACTTGCCAGCTGCTAAAAAAAAAAAAAAAAAAAAAATTCTAGACCAAGGTATGAATGAGACAGAGAAGTTTAAACAGCTTTAAAAGTTTAAGCTCTTGCCTCTATTTTCTCCATGAAGTAGCTGAGCGAATAAGAAATGTAAGGCGTGGCCATGGAATTGGGAGCTAGAAGAAAATGAAGTTTAAGATAGTAGATGTGGAAAATGGAAGAGGAATCTATGAAAATACACTAGAATTCTACATGTAAGAAGAAAAAGATACATTGGCCCTGTTCGGTAGATTACGTACCATCTGAGAACTGTGTCATCTTGTGGAAAGAGGAGGTTTAAAGGCCATCTTTTAACACTATTCATTTAGAATTAAGACAGCATAAAGGAATTCCCCCTTCCCCAAAATTCTTTGTCCCTGGTATATTTCCAGGGCCTGCCACAATGCCTGGCTAAATGCTGACGATCAAAAATTGAGCTGTTAAATAAATCGACTAATTGTGGCCTCAAGGAATATCAAAAGAGGGGCCCTTTGTTTTAGACCAAGTCAAAACAACGGGATTGGTGTTATGGTTCTGCTTGCTATTTCAATACGGGAAGGCGATATAAGACTTAAAGGAGACAGGAGAGAACGAAAGTCATCCTGACCCGGAATATTAACACAACGTTCCCTACACCCTCCACCTCTTGCAATCCTAGCTTCGTTCCAGGCCTGGGACGTGGGGAACACGACTGGGGGCTCTCGTGCAGCAGGGAGAGGCCGCAAATTCTCAATCCGTCCAGCTCCCCACAATTCCCTGCTTGAATGGGTCGCCGTGGAGCGTGTTTTGAATGGTCACCTACCCTCGTCCGCGTCGTACATGTTGGCAAACGGTTCCCGACCTCCTAACTCTTGAAATCTGAGCGAAAGAAAGGCGCGTTGCGGTCCTCCAGCACACAGAGCGAGAGACGTAATTTCTCACTCCGGCGTTCCCAGAATGCTCTGCGTCTCAAACCAAAGACCGCCCACAAAGAAGCCAATGATTAAGATCTGCGCCTGCGCAAATTACGGGTATGGTTGGGCCGGCGTTAGACGTGCGCACGCGCAAATTGTGGGCCACCAACTCCCGCGAGTGAGAGGACATCTCCTACAGTCCGAGGGTCGGATCCAGCCAGGGGAGGTGGTTTTTGTCTGTTTGCACTTTTAAAGACCAAAATAACACGAAGCTTTTAAAAACGTGATTTACTCAGGGCGGCTTGTGCCAGCGGTGGCGCGTTGAAGAGGCCTGAAAGTGAACAAACCCAAAGCACTCGCTACCCTCTTCTGCGCATCTAGCTCAGTCTAGGTCCTTAGTGCCTTTGCCTCAGCTTGTTTGTTTTTGGCGGCTGGCGGCTATGGGGATCCGAACCCGTAGATCTTGATGTTATAACACCGCGCTCTAACAAACAGAAACTCGCCGTCACCTGCTGCAGCTTAAGTGCGCTCTCGGGCCTCGGAGGTTTCATCGCGAGAATTCACGGAGAAGGCGCGGGAGGAGCGGGAGTTCAGCGGGAGACAAACGACGGCTCCCAGGTACCCCTGGGCTTTCGGCTGGGGTTGATGTAGACTTCGGGCCACAGTGCGCTTGCGTGCACGTGGCTCCGCCCCTTTGCCGGAGCCGTGTTCCCCATGCCGCTGGCACGCTTAGCAGGTAGGGTGCTGCTCTGTTTCCTGCGGGGATCCGCTCCTACGGTAGCGCGCCATGGCCTCCGGAAACCGCTACTGGAGAGGAGATGCGCCGCCGCCGCCTCCTCCTTTCAGCACCCATCGGGCCTGGGATGTGGACTTTCTCGTGGCTCCACAGCAACCGGGGGTTACGGCGGAAGCACTGACGAGGAGGAGCATTTTCTGTTCCCCGAGTACGTCCCGGAGCCGGAGCCCGCACCGACCCCCGAAGAGCAACTGCGGGAGCTGCAGCAGCGGCAGGAGAAGGAGGAACGACAGAGGCAGCAGCGGCGGGAGGAGAAGCGACAGCAGAAGCTACGGGCCAGCTGCCGGGAGCACCTGGTCGTGGGGCACTCGGACCCGGCAGTGCCGCCCAGTGGCGTCAACTGCTCGGGCTGCGGGGCAGAGCTGCACTGCCAGGACCCCGGCGTGCCCGGCTACCTGCCCAGCGAGAAGTTCCTCAGCGCTACGCAGGCGGACGGCGGGCTGGCGCGGACCGTGTGCCAGCGCTGCTGGCTGCTGGTGCACCACCGGCGCGCCCTGCGCCTGCAGGTGAGCCGCGAGCAGTACCTGGAGCTGGTGAGCGCCGCGCTGAGGCGGCCCGGGCCCGCCTTGGTGCTCTACATGGTGGACCTGCTGGACCTGCCCGACGCCCTGCTGCCCGACTTGCCCGCGCTGGTGGGCTCCAAGCAGCTGATCGTGCTGGGGAACAAAGTAGACCTGCTGCCCCAGGACGCCCCCGACTACCGGCAGCGCCTCCAGAGGCGGCTGTGGGACGATTGTGCCCGCGCCGGGCTACTACTGGCCCCTGGCCACCGAGGGCCACAGAGCCCTGGTGGGGACGGGCCACGGGACGGGGAGGAGAATTTGAATCGGTCAACCAAGGCCCGCTTGGTGGTCAGGGATGTGCGGCTGATCAGCGCCAAGACCGGCTATGGAGTCGAAGAGTTGATCTCCGCACTTCAGCGCTCCTGGCGTTACCGCGGCGACGTCTACCTGGTGGGCGCCACCAACGCCGGCAAGTCCACTCTCTTTAACACGCTCCTGGAGTCCGATTACTGCACCGCCAAGGGCGCAGAGGCCATCGACAGAGCCACCATCTCCCCTTGGCCAGGTGAGTCTTCTGTGACTCTTTGTATTTAAGTTGACAAAACCAACTGCCTGATTTGTTCCCTTGAAACCACAATTTAACTTTCGTAAACTGTTCTCTCTCTTGCACTTTGATAGACTTATACACAGAATTGCTTTAGTATTGGATAGTAGGTAGTGTGACGAAAATGAAAAGAAATTAGACCTGCAGATTTTGGATTCAAATCCTGGTTTAGCCTGTAAGCCAATCTCTGAGCCTGTTTCCTCATTTGTAAGGTGGGAATAATATTATAGAGGGTTGTCATGAAGGTTGAGATAAATCACAGTACCCAACACTGTAGATCCTCTGAAATATTCATTTTCCTCCCCTTATTCCCTTTTCTAAAAATGTATTCTTTGGTATTTCAGGTACTACATTAAACCTTCTGAAGTTTCCTATTTGCAACCCAACTCCTTACAGAATGTTTGAAAGGCAAAAAAGACTTAAAAAAGATGCAACTACAGCTGAAGAAGATCTTAGTGAGCAAGAACAGAATCAACTTCATCTCCTGAAAAAGCATGGTTATGTAGTAGGTAAGCATTCTCTATGAGAAAACCCTTATTGGTTCTATGCTGAAATTCTTTTTTTTTTTTTTTTTTTAAAGATGGCCGGTAAGGGGATCTTAACCCTTGACTTGGTGTTGTCAGCACCACGCTCACCCAGCGAGCTAACCGGCCATCCCTATATGGGATCCGAACCCGTGGCCTTGGTGTTATCAGCACCACACCCTCCCGAGTGAGCCACGGGCCAGCCCTATGCTGAAATTATTTATTGAGCAACCTGAAGTACAGCTGCCTGGGGCTAGCCAGTTTTTGTGGGGAGAGACTACCTTCCTCATTTGGGAACATAAAGGCCCTTAGAAGCAAGGCTAATGTTGGTAAACCCAGACCAGTACAGATAAAGGTTGTTGCCTCCATGCAACAGCTTTATATTAGGTTGTCCCTCTTTTCTTGGTAACTTTCAGCCTTCCTTTACTAATAGCAGTTTGATTTCCAATATCTCCCCACCCCCACACCCCCCACCTGCCAATGTACATAAGCCAGCCTCACGCTTGATCATTAAAAGAGTCTGACTCCCTCTGCCTTTGGAAAAAAAGCAAAGGTATGGTAGTCTCACTTCCATACACTGTAGTTAGTCTTAGCAACTTGTTTGAGGCAAACATAAAAATTATCTGTCTAGAGGGCTGCTCGGTTAGCTTAGCTGGTTAGAGTGCAGCCTTGTAACATCAAGGTCAAGGGTTCAGTTCCCCATACTGGCCAGCTGCCAAAAACAAAAACAAACAAAAAAATAATCTGTCTGGAGTCAAAAACATTAAAGGAGTGACTAATAACTTCCATATAACTTGTTCTAGGAAGAGTTGGAAGAACATTCTTATATTCAGAAGAACAGAAGAATGAAGTTGTCTTTGAATTTGATGCTGATTCACTTGCCTTTGACATGGAAAACGACCCTGTTGGGGCTGCAAACAAATCCACCAAACAAGTAGAATTGACTCCACAAGATGTGAAAGATGCCCACTGGTTTTATGACACCCCTGGAATTACGAAAGAAAATTGTGTATGTATTTCGTTTCTTTTAGAAACATTTACAGTTGACCTTCAAAGGACACATTGAGGGGAAGGAATGTTTATGGGCGCTGAGCCCCTGCCCCACCTCCACCCTTCACAGTTGAAACTCTAGCGCGGGTGGCATCCCCATCCCTGCATTGCACACCCTGAGCAAGTTAAGTAGTTAAGTTCTTTTCCAATATATTTATTTTTTAAAATCCTTGTATAAGTGGACCTGTGCAGTTTAAACCAGGGTTGTTCAATGGTTTGCTGTACTTTCAGTTGTACACATCTTAATTGGCAGAAAACAGGAAAAGAGGTATACTTCCATTTTAGACCCTGTTCTGATTTATTCATAAAGCGGACCAGGGAGGAATTTATGTGTCACCAAGTTCTCTATTCCATTTCATAGACTTCACTGCTGAAAACCTACTGGTATTATCATTGAGGTTGTTACCTTAGTTAGGGAGACATTTACCAGAATCCTAGATTTTGAGGTTGAAAGTGATCATAAATATCACTGCAGTCCAGCTCCCTATTCCATGCTTGAATTCCTTCTATAACATATCCATTAATAGTTCATCCAGCTTGAACTAAATAAAGCGTGACTCACCATTAGATGAGGCAGTGTCACATCACCTCCCAAGGTAACCCATTTGGTCTTTGACCAGCTCTTTGTGTTGATCTGAACAGTCTCCCTGTAACTTGTACTCCTTGTATCTCAAAGCTATAATGGCAGGAACGTAATGTCTAGTTCCCTTGCCAGACCTTGAAATATTTTAAAATGTAATGTCCTATCTTTTCCTCATCTATCCCTACCTTTTTTCTCAGTTCATCCAGCAGCCGTTGAGCATTTACTGTGCTGACACAATCCTGATTATTTGTATTCATTTCTTATAACTCTTCTGAGAGACAGGCTATTGCTCTACCCAAGCCTCTTTTCAGAATGTTTTCTAAATTTTTTGTTCTTAAAGTGTGACACTAAGAACTGAGTTACATGTATAAGTGCTCTCAGGTGAGCATAATTTAGAATAGAATTAACTCTACTTCTCTGTCTTGGCCTTATGCGTCTTTTTAATCCAATTGCAGGATCTCATAGGTAACTTTGATTTTGTCTTGTTAACTTCAGCCTATATTCTACTCTTTCAAATAGCGTTAAATCTCACAGTTGTTTGTTTGTTTGTTTGTTTGTTTGTTTGTTTGTTTGTTTTTTCCAAAAGATGACCAGTAAGGAGATCTTAACCCTTCGCTTGGTGTTGTCAGCACCACGCTCAGCCAGTGAGCAAACCGGCCATCCCTATATGGGATCTGAACCCAGGGCCTTGGTGTTATCAGCACCACACTCTCTCGAGTGAGCCACGGTTCTGCCCTAAATCTCACAAGTTTTTATTATCAGTTTTGAACTTCATCCAAGTCATTGATTGACTCAAGTGTGCATCCAGGATACAGCTTTACAACAGATCCATTAATGACTTCCTTTGAATCTGATTACTGACCAATTTCTCCTAATTTTCTTTGTATCTCCCTGTGAAACAACACTGGTTTCTTAGGTACTTTCCTTTGTCTCATCAGGATCACTCACAATTTCATTCTCAGAATTGTATTCTATTTGGTGTCCTATGACACAGAATCAGACCCTTTCTTTTCATTTTTATTGCTGTCCTAGAATAATTGCTTCTGCCTAGTCTTTTGTTCCTTAGCAGTCCACAACTTCAGAGTAACTGGACTACTTCCTAATAATGTTCTATCCCTTTAACTTCAACTAATTCTTCCTTTTTAGACTTAGTTAGGCCAGAGATAGCAGTTAATTTAGTCATATACCCTCTTGTGAAATAGTTGAGTGAGAAAGGCAAGAATTTGTAAAGTATTCCAGCCAGCAGAATGACACCTTTAAGTTTTTAGAAATAAAAAGTCTCCCGGCACTAGTAGTTTGCTTCTATGTCAGTTTATAGTAATATTTATTTCATGCCTTAAGCCAGTGTTTCCCAAACTGAACCAAGGAACTCTGTTGTGAAATGGAAGTATTAGGCTCTCTGCTTAAACAGGGTTGAAAAAACAAAAAAAACTTTTTTTCTTAACTACACGTGGCTTTTTTTTTTTTTTGGCAGCTGGCTGGTATGGAGATCTGAACCATTGACCTGGGTGTTATCAACACTGCCCTCTAACCAACTGAGCTTACTTACCTGCCTGTCTGCAAGTGGCTTTTAACGTGTTTTTTTTTCAAACACAAATGCCAAGGAAAGCTATTTGCAGCCCTTATTTATTTTCTTATGAGCCTTTCTAGGTATTGCTTATATTTTTTATTTATTTATTTTTTGTTATTCTTCTGAAGAACCAAGTTCACAAGGTTTTTGTCCATTTTTTCCTTTTTTATTCTTTTTTTTAATCAAATTTTGATTCCTTAAATTTTACCAGAATCTTCTATATCCTATCTTTCCTTTTCTGTTTTCTCTAGTCTGTTTGGGAACTCTTCATTCTTAGAAGCAATATTCTCTTGTTTTCTGCTGAATGTTTGGGCGAAATAAGGAAATTAAACACCAGAATTTAGAAACATGTTCTTCAAGCTCTTCACCTGCCCAGAGAATGGGATGACAATTTTGCACTTAATGTGTGTATACTAGGACAGAAAGTTGCATGTTCCCTTACTTTAAGCTAAAAGCTACTGGTCCCCGGAAGCCTTGATGGAGGAGAGCATATATTTTATATCGGGGATTCAATCAGCAGTATTTTCAGGTTCATACCAATTTTGACATTTGAATGATGCTGCTTGCTAGGAAAGTCTCATATGCCTGTAAAGTTATTTTGCTATTATTCACGATTAAGTCGTGAAACAAGTAGAGCCACCAGTCAACTGAGGTTAATTTAGACAGAAGGAATTTATATAGTTTAGGTGCAGCAAACTCTGACATACTTTGGTTTATTGTGAAGTCTGAAATATTTTTATCACTTTTTATCTTATAGTTACAATATATTTTATCTTCAATAAAAGTAATTTAAAAAAATCTGCCATTTGTTTCACAGATTTTAAGTCTTCTAACAGAAAAAGAAATAAATATAGTTTTGCCAACACATTCAATTGTTCCAAGAACCTTTGTGCTTAAGCCAGGAATGGTTCTATTCCTGGGTGCTATAGGCCGCATAGATTTCCTGCAGGTAAGGAAAGTCTGTACCATTAAAAAATGACTAAATATTGGAATTTACTTTAAGGAAGCAGATACATGAACAAACACGACTGGCAAAATGTTGATAACTAAGTCATGACTATGTAGGGATTCGATATACTTTTTTTTTTTTTTTTTTTTTAGATGACCAGTAAGGGGATCTCAACCCTTGGCTTGGTGTTGTCAGCACCACGCTCTCCCAAGTGAGCCATGGGTCATCCCTGACCTTCCATTTTTTGAGGCTGCCAGTGTACTAGAAAATTAAAATGTCTCCATGTGGTTATACAAATTGTCCTTTTTGGGGGGAAAAATGCAACCAAACTTCAAATGCTCTGCTTGGAAGAATTGTAAATTATCTTCAGTGGGATGTTGAGTGCCCCTTATAGCTGGGCATTTAAAACATGTTTGGTATTTGTTTACATAGCATCATTCTGGGGATTTTGGAGTGTCTGCAGAATTGTTCCCCATTTTGCCAAAGTAAGGAGAAAAAAGGAAAATGAAATATGGATATGTCTAACAATACTAAATGCAACTTATAGGCCATTACTATAGGACATTTCTTGGGTTTTTTGTTTGATCATAATTTGTTAGAAATTTAGCCCTATACACTTAGAATCCTTATATAATAATACATGAGTTTTTTTTAATGCTATCAGCAGGTCTGTAGAAGAAGTTATTGTTTTGCATGAATTGTTAAAATGTGCTGTTTTCATATTGTCTTTTTTTTTAGGCATTAATATAGTTTGATTACAACTATTGCTATACCAGTACTTATAAAGGGAGCTTGATTTGGTTCTTCGTTTTTGTTTGCAGTAATTGTACCTTGTAATGTGTGAGTTTTGCAAGTTTTTCATTGTGTTAAGTAACCTTTTTCCTTTCTTGAGGGAAATCAGTCAGCTTGGTTTACAGTCGTGACTTCTAACCTCCTCCCTGTGCATGTTACTTCCTTGGACAAGGCAGATGCCATATATAAAAAGCATGCAGGTCATACATTACTGCAGGTAAGGCAACACGACTTGATGATTGCACAGTTATGGTTAATATACACTGTGATGGGACATAGCTCTGTTCAAAAGCCTTTGTTGGACAGAATCATCTGTTATACCATCAGCTAGCTCTCCCCTCACCTCATTCTCTTTGAGGATTCTGGCTATAAAGTGAAATAGGTTCTATGTGAAAAAAGATGTTGGTTTGGACCAAGCCTTATAGCCACAGACTTGTGTTTTCTCTAAACTACACTGTCCAACTTGGTAGCTACTAGCCACACATGGCTATCTAAATTTAAATACATCAGTTAAAATTAAATAAGATTTAAAATATGGTTCCTCATACTAGCTACATTTCAAGTGCTAGATAGTCATATCACTGCAGAAAGTTGTATTGATTAGTGCTGAGTGAAAAGAAGTTACAGATTTTGTCACAGCTTGGGGTTGCTGCCACCATCTAATTGGTGGAGGCCACAGATAGTGCTGAACATCCTGCCATGCACAGGGACAGCCCTTCACAACAAAGAGTGATCTGGTCCAAAATGTCAGTAGTGGTTGAAAAGCCCTGTTCTAAGTGCAAAAAGCTTTCCTCCCAGGTTCTTAATCCAGGACACTTATTTTATAGATTATCCCACCTCTTCTTTCCTGCTCTACCAGCTTTTTCCTTTTGTCTATAAATGATAAAATTGCTCTCATCTTAAAAAAAACAAACAAAAAAAAACTCCACCTGGATCTTAGCCAAAAGGCCAAGAAGCGATTAAAAAAAAAAAAAAAAAACTCAAGAGTCTTGCCCAGTTCTTCTACAGTCCAGCTTGCCCATGCTCCTCACATCCTTTCTCTGCAGTCCCTGTTTGACATTTACCATGCCACTGAAATTGTCCTTATTAAGTTCACCAAAGACCAATTGCCTAAGTGAGGACTGTTTTCAGCTCTTTTACAAGACATGCCGTATGCACTGTTGGACAGTGTATATTGTATATTGGTTAAGATTATTGAAGCCAGACTGCCTGGGTTCAGATGCCCATTCCACTCTACCACTTTACAAAGCTCTATGACTTTAGGCAAGTTTCTCTTACCTCTCTGTGTTGTACCTACCTTGTGAGGTTGTGAAGAGAACTGTCAGGGCAACATTCTAAGTGCTATGTAAGTATTCATGACAATGATCGTGAAGCATTGGTTGCAAATATACCAGCTGCATCCAAAGCAGCAGTGACTGGCATTAATGCTCCTATAACTGAAAATAAGCCAAGAAACAAAACATACACCCTCCCTTCAAAGAAGATAAAAACAAACAAGCTTGACTTGAGAAGTAAATGCTTCTTTCTCTCTGGATTTCCTAAGAAGCCAGACTGAAATTAAAATTCCATTGAAATAACTGCCCCAAATTTAATACTCTAGAGACTTGTAGAACTTGCGGGGAGGTTGAGCACATAAAAGCAATCAACAATATCGGCTGTCAATTTTTCTGCACTAAAAGACTTTAGTTCTCTTGTTACATATGTTCACTTTTTAGGTAAAAACAAAAGTACACAAGTTGAAATACAGCTTTGACTTGCAGGAAAGAACACTTCCTTAGTTAGTGTAATATGGCTGTCAAAAAATAAATTCTGTGTAGATCTACCCATGTGCATCTGTGTAGTTTTCAGGATGGACATCACTAATATTTTCCAAAGCAGTAATCTCAGTGTTCTCTCAGTGTGACACAAACGGTTTCCTGGGCTGTTCTGGGACTCTTTCTTGCCTCCTGGTTTTCTTCCTCATCTCCCAAATTAAAATCTGTTCTACCTCCTAATTATCTCTGAATCTAACCTGGTAGTTCAAGCTGTAATCTGCTTTGTTGAGGCTATTTTTGAGATCCTTAAGTAGTTTCTCAGTCCTCTTTTGCTGCCCTTCTGTTCCCTCATCCGTACCCCCTGCCCCCACATATACTTCCAGAACCACTAGAGCAGTGGTTCTCAACCCAGGTTGATTTTCCTCCCCAGGACAGACTTGGCAATGCCTGGAGACCTTGTTATTTATCACAACTTGGGGGTGCTCTTGGCATATACTGAGTAAGCCCAGGAATCCTGCTAAACATCCTACAATGCACAGGACAGCCTCCCACAACAAAGAATTATTCATCCCAGAATATCAATAGTACTAAACCCTACACTAGAAAGATCTTTCCAAAATATAAAGCAGGTCATATTATTCTTTTTTTAATTCTTACCTCTGTTCTATCTTCGGCTTATAATTCCTAGATAGTTCCGCATTACTGAGAGACGTCTGAACAGCTGACAGCCTAATCACTAATTATCCCTCCACACATGCGTGTGCACACATAACATACTCTGCACAATTTAACTACAGTTCCCTGAAATCATCCTTTTTCCAGTTTTTATCTGTATATGTGCTGACCCAGAATATCTTTCAAATGAATATACCACCCATTTCTCAAAATACTGCTCACATTTACCTCTTGTTTTCCTTGACCAAAACACATTACTCCTCCTTCCACAAACAGCACTCTCATTTCTTATCTTGTATTTGTCTACATATCTTTTTTGAGTTTTTTTATAGTTTTTTTTTATTGAAGCATAATTGATTATACATATTTTGGGGGTACAGTGTTGACTATCATATTTGTGTACAATATGTGCTGATCAAATCATTATTAGCATATTCACTATTACAAAGTTTAATTATTCTTTGTGCCCCTTACCCAATTTCTCTCTAACTCCCCTCTCCATCCCCCTTTCCCACCTCTAATAACCATAGATTTGTTCTCTCCTTCTGAAAGTTCAACGTATTATTGTGGTCTTTGTCTACAAGTTATTTACCCCTTCTGACCTCCTTGCAGGCAGGGACCATACTGTAACATCTATCTTTGTGTCCCTACTGCTAAACACGGGAAAGATTAATGCATAGATAAATTATTGTCCAGTTACTTCTAATTCATGGAAACATCTGTTAACATAGAAGCTAAATCTTATCCATTGTACATGGACCCTTGACTTGTTTTTTTTTAAAAGATGACCGGTAAGGGGATCTTAACCCTTGACTTGGTGTTGTCAGCACCACACTCACCCAGTGAGCAAACCAGCCATCTCTATATGGGATCCGAACCCGTGGCCTTGGTGTTATCAGCATCACACTCTCCCAAGTGAGCCACGGGCCGGCCCCACGGACCCTTGACTTGTAAAGCAGCAGAGATTAATCTTTTGGCCATGCCTGTAAGAACTAAGGTATTTGGAAGGACCTAGCCTTAATTGCCTGACATTACTCTATGTAAAGCCCTATGGAGGGCTATAAAAACAGTGTAAATAAAGCACAATTCTCCTGTCAGGAGGTTACTGCCAGGTGCATGCCCAATACTGGCCCTTGGCCCTGAGATTTGTATGCTTCGTCTCATCAGAGAGCTCCCATGCTTTCCATGTGACCCTAGAAGTGACTTAGGGTTTTTTCTTTTTTTTTTTTTTTTTTAAAAAGATGACCGGTAAGGGGATCTTAACCCTTGACTTGGTGTTGTCAGCACCACACTCACCCAGTGAGCAAACCAGCCATCTCTATATGGGATCCGAACCCGTGGCCTTAGTGTTATCAGCACCGCACTCACCCGAGTGAGCCACGGGCCGGCCCAACTTAGGTTTTTTTCAACAGTTGAATGTTTAAAAGGATTTTGTTCTTGATCCTGGTGCAGAATTATCTTATCAGCGAGTTACTTAATATTAGAGTCACAGGGAATTTAATTTGAACTTCCAAACATCTTCATTTTATTTCATTGGAAGGTTCCAATGGGTGGAGAAGAACGAATGGCAGGATTTCCTCCTCTTGTTGCTGAAGACATTACATTAAAAGAAGGACTTGGAGCATCTGAAGCAGTGGCTGATATCAAGTTTTCCTCTGCAGGTAACCAAGAACTTTTTAAAAAGCAAATAAAGTAGCTTTATTGACTTAGAGTACATTTTCATAGAAATGTGCCTTAACTGATATAAGCTGATTATTTTAAGGTATACATACTAGTTTATTAATAAAATGCAACCTATTCTGAATATAAACTTGTATTTTTCACAAATGCACTGTATGTTTTTTTAAAAACAGTGAAAGAACAATAGCCTCTTGGTGCTCCAATTTGAGCTCTGGTTTGGTGTTTTTAAGATGGTTGTTAACAGCATTTTGTGTTCTATCTCATGCCTGCATAGGTTGGGTTGCAGTAACACCTCACTGCAAGGACATACTGCATCTCCGAGGCTATACCCCTCAAGGAACAGTTCTAACGGTCCGGCCCCCTCTCTTGCCACATATTGTTAACATCAAAGGACAGCGCATCAAGAGAAGTGTGGCCTATAAAACCAAGAAGCCTCCTTCCCTTTTGTACAATCTGCGGAAGAAGAAAAAACAGATAAATGTATGAAGCTGACCTTGTTTGCACTAGATATTAACTATATTAGATATAACAATATACATTGAAATGGTATTAAATATACCTATAATAAAGTCCTCCCCATTCCCACCCTTTTTAAAGATCTTCACAGTGACCTTTTTAAACTATTTAGGACTGTGCCTTTTTGCAATGTATTGAGCTTATAAATACAAGTGTTTTTTTGTATGTATATATCTGTGACCCAAATATACATAAAAAGGAGGCCTGCTACATTCAAATTTCTCCCACTACCATTTTCCTTTTTTGAGACCAGATGTCATTTCTCTTATTTGGAGTCTAGTTGACAGGGCAATTTAGCAGTCAGCATATGAAAAAATGTCAGGAAATCAGTTTTTCCAAAATACATTGGCTTAAATAAGGTAGAAGTGAGTAGGTGGCTCTGCTCCATGTAGTCATCCAAGGATCCAGCTGGTGGAACATACCATGGCTTCCATCTCCAAGTCCAAGGTGGTTGGTTGCTCAAGTTGTTATCCTTTCCCAGCAAGTGTGAAGAAGGAACAAGAATAGAGAGCAAACAGCTTCCGGATTTAAAAGAAGGAAAAAAAGCTGGATGTTGTACAAATCCAATTGTTCCAACAGTTACAATGCCCACACCCACCCACCAGAAAACTGGTAAATGTAGAGGGAAATGAGAAGTACATGAGGTTTTTATTAAGGGAAAATAGGGACAATGCATACTGGAGAACAAGTAGAAATTTACCTTCCACAATTTAAAAGTGCCTGAAAATCTTAGATAAAAGAAGATTCAAGCTATATTTCCTAGCATCTGAGGTCTATTCTCCAATTAAGAGAGCACTTTAACTATTAACATTTGCCTGTATAGACCTTTATTAAATTATGTCAGAAGTCTTTTTGTTAGTCCTAGATGAGTAGTACTACAGCTGTGTGCAATGAACAATTGGCAAGTCAAGTCCCAGATCCTAACGTTGAGATAAATACTAGCAGGATAAGCTGGGTTGAAATGCAGTTAGATCCAAGAACTTCTTAATAGACCCATGTCCTCTCCCAACATGTGGGAGATCCTATGTATGTCACATTCTCCTGCCCTCTCCGTGTCCCCTAGCTCCCTTCTCACTACATCCTCCTAGACTAAATATAATGGGGAGTGTTCTAAGATGCAGTTTGTAACTCTGTAGATCTCACTTTCACAGTGTTTCAAACTGAGCCCTGTTGGTATCTTATGGATGATAGTTCATGTATAGAACTGCATTTTGGCATGTCTGGCATCCCTCATTCCCAGAACTGAATGTAAGTAGCAACTCCCCTGGCTCAGTCATTGTGACAACCAAAAAACACCCCCAACATTTCCAAATGTACCCCTAGAGGGCGGTAGCTTCCCAAGTTGAGTAAATTGATAAGTAGTTGATTTCTAATTTTGTATTTTAGAGAGAATGAAATACCATTGATTTTATAAGTTAAGACTGTGGTCATTACATTCCTATTTATGACTGAAAACGAGTTCACAGTTTAGAACTTAGGCCTGCATCTTTAGGTAGAACAACAAAATATGGTGAACTCAGTGTTTGGGAAAATAAGTCTAAAAACAGTCATCACCCTGACAACCTATGAATATGTCTTTTAGGAGGAGAACATTCCTTCTCTCTAGGGTTTTGGGCCTCTCAACTAATAAAGATTCGGTTTTTAACTGAAAGATTCATATACTTAGGGCTCTTCTTCCTCTAAAATTCAGTGCTTTTGTTTCAAAATCTTTGGATCTTCATTTTCTCACCTATAAAATGAGGAAAATGGGGGCTGGCCAGTTAGCTTACTAGGGAGAGCACGGTGCTAATACCAAGGTCAAGGGTTCAGAGCTCCATACTGGCCAGCCACCAAAAAATAAAATGAGGAAAGTACACTTGATTTTTTGTAAGGGTTCTCCATCCTAACCTTTTATAATTCTACAGAAAAACAGGAAAGTAAGCCAGCAAAAGATGGCTACAATACTTCAGACAAATAAAGACACTACATGCCTGCCTAGCAGAAGACAAGGACTTCTGCTAGGATCTGGCATTAATTTTTACTCCATATTCCTCCAATCTAATGTAGCCCCAGATCACTGCTGGACTATTCAAGTACTCCACAATAGATTTTGCTTTAAGAAAGTTCTGTTACTGGGCCGGCCCGGTGGCGCACTGCTACAGTGCGCCGCTTGAGAGCGCAGTGGCGCTCCCGTCGAGGGTTCGGATCCCACATACAGACCGGTTCCTGCTCACTAGCTGAGCGAGGTGCGGGCACAGCACCGAGGGTTGTGATCCCGTTGCCGGTCCCGGTCCGGTATGGGCGCAACACTGAGGGTTGCGATCCGTTGCCGGACACGAAAAAAAGACAAAAAAAAGGAAAAAAATAAAAATTAAAAAATTTTTTTTAAAAAAAGTTCTGTTACTGTGGTTTCTGAGCTTTACTCAGATTACTGATACTTCTTAATCCACTCATCTGAGTATGAAGACTTCTCTTGAATAAGTGATCATTTACACTATGGCAGGAGTTAGCAAGCCTTTTTGGCTAGGTAAGGAGGAGAAATTAATGGTCGAGTGTTAGGCCAACTCCCTCACTGTCACAGAACAAAGGTCATTTTGAGAGGCTCAAATACAACTAAGCAAGTTTATACTAGATTGTTCACCTAGCTCTGCAGCTTTGTGGTGGCAATCATGTCACCTCTTTTAAATTCATGACACCCAAAAGAAGTAAAATATGTGCCATCAAAGGGTTTTTGGCTTCTATGTGTTATTAGGCTCAAAGTTTTATTTTGAAAAGTTAGACCTGATTTCTCTGCCCCCACCCCAAGTAAAACTAAAATAATAGCATCTTCTTCAAAGTTATTGAAACAAACTGAAGTTGTAACACATTTTGTATTTTTAATCACCATAAATGCTAAGATCTACCAATTACCAGAGCTTTACTGTAGTTCCCGAGTCTATATTTGTTGTTACTTACGACGCTCACTTCCCATGACAACCAAGAAGTGGAGTACAGACGCAATCTTGTGTCTGTGTTTTTTGATCATTCAGACACTTCTTGCAAAATGGAGATCAAGGCTGGTTTCCTGTAGATGACTAACTTGCAGCTCCAGCTGCGTCAGCTATGACAGAGTTGTTATTGCTTCACTGAGTAGGCAACCAGCGCTCAGGCTGAGGCGAGCTGTTTCATAGACAGCCTCTGATCATTTACCCTGGCTTCTCTCCCACTTGGCTCTGCATTGTGGAGCAATAGAATCATTTCCATTCTTTCTCAGGCTGTTCCATTTTCTCTTGGCTGCTTTCCTCCTCCCAGGAGGATTGTTTTTTCTCAACTGTCAAAGAGTAATGCTTAAACATTAAAAACAAGACTTCAGACTCATGTGAATCACATAGATAACACCTCTGCCTGCTCCTAATGTCTCTCCATCATTTTATTTGCTCTAGTAATGCCCTGTAGTGTGAGGGGAGTGATTCAAGATTACTATTTTAATGTCAAGATTACTATTGGAATGTGCCTCACCTTTTCATTTCATCTCAAAAAACATCATTATTTGCCCATTTATTACAAAAGTTTCATGATCTGAATACTCTCTGAAGTTTATCTAGATCATCCTCAAAACACCCACTATTCGGACTCCCAGGTTCCTGTTTTTCAAAAGCTTCCTGTTACTTCCCAAATAATTCTCAGAATTTACATTCTAGGTAGTCAACCTAGTGAGAGAATTTATTTGTTCTTAATATTCTCATTGGTAAATGCAATAATAGGTAGTCTGCTTAATCGTGTACATTGTCAATACTTCTGGTCAGTAGTTATGGTAAATCTGAGAAAACTGAGGCCACAAAAATAAAGTTGGATGTGCTAGAGAACAAGTCACCACATGTCAGGTGATTTTGGAAATGAAAAACTGCCAAGATCCTTTCTAACCTTTCAGTAAGTCCCTGGAAAATAGCAGGGATTCAATGCATGAATGAATGAATTAGTAGAGTGAGGGGATTTTTGTTTGTTCGGTTGGTTGGTTTTTGACTTCCTTGGAAAATGTCAAAAGACCTAAAGTTGCTTAGTGGCATTTACACTAACATTTTGTAGAGGTTCTTCCTTTCTTTTAGGCAATATCTCATGGTAATTGTATTTCAGTCTACTCATAGTTGCTATAATCACGATAGCTCATATATCTCTTTTTTACTCCTTTATAGCCTTATGATTATAATAGTAGCTAACCCTTATATAGCATATACAATGAGCCAGTCACTCTCTTAAGTGCTTTATATATGTTAACTGAATCCTTAACAACAACCCCATGCAGTAGGTACTATTATTAACCTGCATTTACAGATAAGGAAATTGAGGCACAGGTAACTTGCCCAGGATCTCACAACAAGAAAAGTGATGGGGCTGTGATTCGAACAAACCTAGGCAGTCTAGCTCCAGTACCCATGTGGGTTTGAGGGGTTTTATTACTATTATATAGTAAAATGGGCTTTTTTTTTTTAATGTACAGTTCTATGGATCTTAACACATGTATAAGTTTGCTTAATGGCGGCCATAATCAGGATACAGAAGAGTCCCATCAGTACCCACGTAAACCCCTGCACAATGCTTCTATCTGCCAAAACCCATCACAAATATACAGGTGAGAACTTTTCAACCTTAGGAAGGAAACCCACTCTCAAGACTTCCAAAGGTAATGACACAATTTCCTCAGAAATTCTGGGTAATTACCACTTAGTTCTCTTTCTGGCTTCCTTTGAATCCTGCCATATACAATCACACCCTAAGCATATTTCTCAGAGCTGTGTGTGTGATGTGCTGCACCCTTACTGTCCCACTTCAGCAATGCTGCCCAAACCTAAACAAGTGTCCCAGCATGATTCCCATGCTGTCTGCCACCTCAGATAGCTTTAAATTGACTGTGCTTTCCTGGCTGGCTGGGAATCTTTCGCATGGCTAGAGAGCTTGCCAAGTACCACGGACAGATCACAGCATGAGTGGAGATCCTGACCCACAACTCTGATTAAGAAAACAGTCAATGAGATACACAGGAAATGTGGAATGCAAACATCCACAGAACTATACCACTAAACTATCACAGAAAAGAGAGTGCAATTTTTAATCCTACTCCTACTAGTGAGATTAGAATTATTAGAACTAGTGGTTCATGTTTACTTGCAAATTAAATAGCTTCAAAAGCTGAATTGCTAGATTGGCCCTGAACTTGTTTAAATGGCCGTGCCTTTTCTACTTGTGGAGCACTCATTTTATTTCTTGTTCCTTGTCACATTTTACTGACTTTCACTAA